GCCCGCCTCGGTGCAACTCCTCCTCGCTCCTGCTCTAAAAAGATTCCCCTCCTTCTCCTCACGACGGCTGTTTCTTCATTCGCGGTCTCGTTCCCTCCCTGGCAGCAAAGCAAAACAGACCTGAGCCAGCCCGCACGTCTCCTCGCCTATTTAAGCACCTTCACCAGGTCCCTAGTTAGCAGCACACTCCAGCTCATCCAAGAAGCTGACAAGCACCGTTAGGGAAGGCAGCGCATGTTGCTCTAATGGACCTCATTAAGTTCTACTTACAGATGTTCTCTTAACATAATTGATCTGCAGCGAGTTGAGAGGACGGCAACCTATTCCCTAGCCCCCAATTATGGCCCAGTAATTAGATCCCCAACCTCCAGTTCTCCACATTCACCCTTCTAACATTCCAAAATATCAAAGTATCTCTTTCTCTCAAAGCAAACCCTCCTGTCTCCCCCACCACCTAACCTTCGTGTCTCCACCTCCTTTGCTCCCTCCCCTCCCCCCTCTCATTTTTTGCACTCTCTCTCTGGTTCTCCTTTTCTCTCCCTGCTGAAATACCCAGGGAAAGAGTGAAGGATAGAGCGTGAGACACATATGGAGGCGGGAGATAGATGGATAAAAACAAGTTTGCACTTTTTGATAAAAGGTTGTAATGATAATATTTGTCAGGGGAGGATCTCTTTTTTTTTGCAAAAGATGCCTTTTTATCTTTAATAATTCCTCTGATGGTGAATGTGAGTGCAGGAGGGAGAGGCAGGTGGTGGTGTGAACGGTGAGCAGAGATGGTGCAGCATTTATAATGCCATTGAGAGCCACACCCTCCACCCGCTTAATTATCCACCGTGCTAAAACACTGAGCATTTTAGGGAAATGTGAATGTCACACTTACGCACTTAAAAGACAAGATGATTTCATCACACAGGGAGAATTAAGAGGAAGCCGGTGTGGGCGCGCTTGGTGCCAATGGGTGTAAATTTTTCTAGATCATGCACAATTTGTGGTGTAAACGTGACGCGAACGTGTAGGCAGCGGTGCTTTGCGAGAACACAAGACATGGCAATATGTGATAAGACTCAAGTCTTACAAGTGTTCGATTAAAGTTTAAACAGTTCCAGTCTGTAAATTTCCTTCCTTAACTTGCACTGTTTCAAGAGCCTAAATGATGTATAAGCAATGTGCCTTTTATTAGCAGGAATGATTCAATGCATTCATTGATTATAGGGAGTATTCATTGTGATTTTAGTCTTAAAGTTCAGTCACATTAGCAGAATTTCAGCAAAATTTTGCGGACAAAGTAGGTCCATTGTCAATAGTAGTTACTCAGAGGTCACTTCCAAACCAGCTAACTTTATATTGGTAAACAGCAAATTTGCTTGTTAAAAGTTCAACAAACAGTAACAAAATTTAAATAAAAAAATGATTTTGAGCAGATAGAACCAATCAGGGTTTTTATTATGCATCGTCTGCAGTCATTATATCCACCTTTTTCTTGTCATAAAAATGGGCGCGGCCGTATGTAAATTCTATGGG